CCCCTCGCCCAGTCCTATAGCGCGCATCGATGCTAGGACCAGTCAGCTCTGTCTTAAAAACTAATCCCCGTGCCTAACCACCTCGGCTGCACAACGATGCCTTGGTGACAAAATTTGGTCTCGAACTAGGAACACACACACCCGCTAAACCGAACATCCCCCAGGCGGTTCTACCCGAATCGCCCGGGGGCTCGGGGGCTACACCCGCAGGTGCGCTCGCGCGCACTCGCCGACACAATAGAAAAAACCTCCCCCGCTGACAACGCGGAAAACCCCCCAGCCGGTTCTGCCCAAACCGCCCGAGGGCTCGGGGGCTACACCCACCGGCAAGTCAAAAATCCCCCAGACAATTCTGCCCGAATCGCCCGGGGGCTCCTATCGGGTTCATAAACCCGGGGTCCCTCGGGAACCAGCTTCCACGCCAAGGCTCGGCCCAAACAGACAGCACATAGCTCATGGGCCGGCCCAAGGGTCAAGAGCAACAGGCTGAAAGGGCGGTCTAGCCACCGACCGGAAGGTCTGGCCAAAAAGGAACAGCGCCCGCTCGTCGACTACTTCGGCCCACCTCTCTAACCGGAGTGCTCACTTCGGACTCCAGCCACCTCCGGACGGCCTCTCCGATCGGAAGGCCTGGCCCAAAGTGCTACTTTCGACTCTGACCCCGTGTCTCCGATCGGGGTTCACAGAAACCCTGCTCACTGCTCTTCTCTGACTGGCGCACCTAGGGCTGACTGGAGTCATCCGACCGGGGACGCCTGCTTGGAAGGAACCAGGCGACAAACGGAGAAAGCAAGCCAAGGGTGCACAAGTCAAACCACACTACCAGGGACCATACCCTGAGCACCTATGGGAACAGTGCTCTGCAACTGCCCTAACACAAACAGTATTATAGGTGCCGACATTTACCTCTACAGTGTTGTGGGCGTCGTTAACTCCCATACGGTAAGGCCCCCTACGTGTCTCTGGGCATCGATAGTGTTATGGGCACCGGGATTTACCGTGCCAGGTGAACGTGGTGAGACTCCTCACATGCCTCTAGGCATCAATAGTATTTTGCAGGTACCGACATCTACCATTCCTGAAGAAGGCAACACGACCTCCCACATGCATCTGACATTCTATAGTGACATCAATAGTGTTGTGGACGCCTACCATTATCTTGTACCCGCCGGCATGGGCGACAAAGCCCAATAGCATACATACCCTCACCCTCTCACTTGTAAAGCCATCCCTTTTGTCTATAAAAAGGGATGCGCTCCCTCCAACAAATGGGCTCCTTTTAGTCCTTTCAAGTAAAAACCATCATCGATCAAGTTCATCAGCTCACAACCACAGAACCACCGGGTTCATACCCCAAGCACGCGCTTGAACACTTAGCTCATAGCGTAGCTCCCGTCGCTCTTGGCCCTTCCGACCGGAGCCAACCGGACCTCTTCTATACCCCATCTTTCTCCTTCTCGTTTGTAACCCCACTGCAAACTTCGAGCACCTGGGCTCAGGAATAAAGTCACTAACCGACCCAAATTGGACGTAGGGCACGTTGCCTGAACCAGTATAAACCCTGTGTCATTGAGTGCTAGGCCACCTCCGATCACAACGTATGACAAAACTATAAATATTTACTAGTTGGTCATATTCTACACCGACACTGATTGACCAACTCCAACAGCAATCCCTCGGTACCGCTGATCAAGAAGCCTTAGACACTATTTACATGAGAAAATATACTTCAAAGATGATGAAAACCTTCAGACACAGACACCATTCCATATTTCCCACACTCACCTTGGTCATGCCGGCAAGCAAAGAATAGTGACACCTTGCACTCCCCTCCCTTACCGCTTGGCCATTCCGCCAAATCAGGAGGACATGCACGGGAAGCCCAGATATTAGTTGTGATCTTGTTTCACAAATTAGTTGAGGGCTTATCTAACCTGATAGCATTTCACAGAAACAAACTAATGAAATAGCTCTACTATATTGTTTTAGGAATCTACATCTGGACCTATGCATATGTGCAGAATAGAGACCCCTTCCATCAGAAGAAAAAAATTGTTGGCCTATTTCTTGTCCAACTGAATTTCAACAAAAGGATATGGGCAGAACGACATGAACTCGAATCCTGCGAATTTGGGTGGCGCTTTACTCACCAGCCGATGCTCTTCCTAACGCCCTCGAAAACATCGGCACTGCCCTTAGCCTCCTACACCCCGTAGAGCGCACCGGTGGTGTTGGATGCCCTCGACAGTGACGGCGAGCGCCACAAGTTCAGCAGCCGACCCCCCTTGAGGCTGCTTGTGTGCCCATTCCCTCCTCCCTCGCCGCCGCACCATAGCCGCTTCTCCTACATTAATTACTGCAAAAAAACTGTGTACCCAGTAATATACATTTTCTTACCGAATCAACCAACACATGGTGAAAACCTAAAGAGTACTAAACCATGTAACACATTTGCTCTTAATAGCCCTAACAGCAAGGACTATTTGAGTAGTGTTAAGCTTTAGATTGGCATTTGGGACTCCAGTTATAGCTTCAGTGCAGAAAAAAAAACATCCGATCGCTTTATGACTGTGAATTGAATTTTCTGAGTTCTGGAATGATTTGCCTCCTCAAGCACGGCAGGAGCTCCTCAGATTGGATAACTAAGCAAACTCTCATTGAACAAGCACACACGAATCTCTACTGCCCCTTCCTTCCCCTGTCGCCTAGAAAAAAATACTATAGTAACTCACCAGGTTATGGTATAGTTGTGACAAATATTTGATAGCACAGGTATAATTGAGACATATTTGATGGCACAAGAAACTAAACTCTAGATTTACAAAATAAAAATTTATGATCAATAATTAACAAGAAGCATCTAGTATATATGAAAAAATGTGTCCAGGTTGTGACGTGATTAAAAAATATAGTTACTAAATCACAGAGGAAACCAAAACAGTGGTAGATCTATCTAATAGAAAAAAACCTTGGTAAAGTAACAACTCTAGTATTCTGTGAGATCGAACTTTCAAAACACATGGATATAAGAAAACAAACATTATTCTTAGATGCTCACGCAAAACCTTACCAAAGAAAACAAATCTAAAAAAGGATGTATAGTGAAACTACGGACAGGGAATCGGATTTAAATAACCTGTGATCGTCACGTGCTTCCAAGTTAAAAGGGTTTAATGATTTTGCTACTGCTCACACCAGGGCTGCCTACGCAGGCCTAGACGGGGATGGATGAGATGCAAGTAGGAAATACATCAGGGGATTGAATGGCTCACCGCTGGAGATTGCCTTCGCTATCTGGACGGGGATGGCCAGGTCGCCGCTGCACTCCATAGAAAATTGGGGATCTTCATTATCCGGCTGCAGGTCACTCGATTGGGTCGAGCGAGGTGTGGCGGTCGAGAGTAGCATGGAGTGGCGGCCGAGCAGGTCCGAGTGGCGTGTTCCGTTCACCCGCACGGGTGGGAGGCCCTTGGGGGAGAAGAAACCGATGCCGGCACCAGCCCCGGGCAGCATGGTGTGCACCGCGGGGCTCCTCGACACCACCTCCACCTGCCCCAACGGCGGGCACTCCGCAGCGGTGACCGCAGCGGTGCGGGTGCGGGGGGCACGGCTGGGGGCTGGCAAATCCGTGCCCTCCTTGATCCAGCTCCGGTGCGACGGGGAACGCGGCTCCGGTGCAGAGACAGGGGAGCGGCGAAGAAGGTGCTCACCATCACCTGCCCCCACCCATGGTGCCTCCTCACCTGAACCCTCGGCCTCCACCTGGGTTACGATGCCTCCTCGCCGGATCCACCGAGGGCAAGCGCCTCCCCTCTATCCAGTCCGCCTTGTCGCCGGATCAGCCGAGGGCGATGGTCGACGGTCTGCTCACCGGCCGTGCTGCCTCATCTGGATCCATCCTCAGCGTGGGAGGGGAGGTAGCAGGGGGGACAACGTTTGGAACCGTCGATGCCCTGGCTGACTGGGTCGCCGGGGGCTTGGTGAGGGAGGCCGCGGCGAGGCTGCCGGGCGACGGTGACGACCACTACACCACAACACCAAGATTAGCGATGGATAGTCTGACGCTAAAAGCGACTACAACGATAGACAGTCTGACGCTAAAAAGTTATAGCGACAGACTTCTGCAGACACTGTAAGTCCTGTCGCTAAAAATCTTTAGCGTCAGACAGTACTTTTAGCGTCAGCCAGTCCGTTGCCCTAAGTTTTTTTAGCGACAGATAGTCTGCTGCTACTCTTTAGCGACCGATAGCCTGCCAGTACTCTATAGCGACAGACAATTTGAAGTTACAAATGTTTTTAGCGACAGATGGTTTGATGAGATCATTTAAATGCATTTAAAAAAATAAAAGGCCATTTGGTTGCAAATTAATATAAAAGTAACATCATTGTGCATATTTCTCATACAAATAGATTCATTCATGAACCTAAAACATAGATCCATGATCAGATAAAGTTACTATGCTTCAGTATGATGTATTATTACAAAAGTAGGAATCACCCCATTTTAGATGCATGTCACCAGCTCCTATCTCAAGTTTCTTATCATAGCTCATATCTCAAGTTTCCACGAAGCTTTTTTCTCACTGAAAAATATGCAATTGCAGCCCATCAGCATCAGGATGCATTAACGGTTATACCTAACGCTATGTGACAACAGTTGTGCCCATGTCCTGCATCTGGTGGATTGGCTCCAACCTCCACTCTGAAATGGGCACATAAATCACACTTATGTGAGAGAACATGGCAGACGTTTAGTATTGAATTGGTGTCACCAAGCATGTAAGGTTATCTAGCAATAATGGCATGTCAACTGTCATATATGATGAGGGCAAGCAAAGTTCATTTATTTACATAGATTGTATAAAACAATAAGAGTTGCAAGCCGCTTGACTGACAAAATTTTTGGGTATGATCGGCAGTGATTGTTGCAGCAGCACTGCGGCTGTCGCTGCAGCAACCACACTCACCAATCACTGTAGGAAGCAAGCACAAAAAGCTACCTACAATTGCCAAATTGGGTAGTGCATGAACTGAGGGTTGGTTCTAGAAGCCTGTCATGCAAAATTACAGAAGATTGGTGTGCATGATGAAAAGTTACAGCAAAGCAAAAGAAACAACAGGCAACTCATCTTAGGAAGTCACTTAATACATCTTTGGGCCATGGGAGAGGATCTGGAACACCAAGCAAGTGCTGCTTTTGGCTTGTGGCACAAGTGATAGACTACCTATCTCTTAGCACAACAAGGTCTGCCCCATCCCACCAAATTCTCCTTTGTGATCAGGAGGAAGAAACAATTCAGCACTTGCTCATTTTGTGTATTTGTCAAGTAATTCTGCTTCAGTCTACTGCAAAAGGTTGGTTTGCAAACTCTGTCTCCACAGACTGAAGACATTTCCCTGGATGATTGGTGGTCAATTATCACTGAAGGAACCAGTGGTGAAATCAAAAAGGGACTCAATTCCCTTGTCATCTTAGGAGCTTGGACAATTTGGAAGCACCGGAATCGCTATGTTCAACAGACCCTCTCCATGTCTTCCTGAAAATCTCTCACTCACGAGAGGAGATGCAGCTTAGGTACATGGCTAGCGCTCAGGGTTTGTCTCTCACGGATATTGATAAAGAGTGTGTTTGTAAGGGTTCTTAATAGTTAATATAATGATATGCAGCTATCCTATGTGTTCAAGAAGAAAAAAAATACTTAATACATGGACAAGAAACTTTATGTAAAACCACTTTCACTCTACAAACTTGACCAGTTATTACAAGAAATATGAACCTCTATCATGTTTCAATCCATGCTATGCCACCATTAGCTTACCACGCTGTAAATTATTGGCTAGAGTGTGTAGGAAAATATAGCACAGATGAATAGGACTGACCTGCCAGAAACAGGTATTCAAAGTATCCATACATTTAAAGGACCAGTTTATAAAATATTTAAGCCAAGCAAAAGGATTAATACACAACAATTCCTTTACTAACACAATAGCGTGTAATATCCCACATACCCGATAATGTTTTCCATTTTCATACTTAGTTGCAACTCTTGATAGCCTGTGTCGAATATTGCCCTTTGGATCCAGCCTATCAACAACAGGATCAACATACTGCACATGCAACAAAGTTTCATGCAGGTTACACATTTGCAAATAAAAATGAACTGAAAGCTCTGGAAAACTTACCATACTAAGCTGATCAGAATACACAACAATTTCATAAAACCTCCCGAGTTGTTCAAGAAAGGCATCCACTCCTGGCCTCTTAAAGGTCCTCCATCCTCTCTCACGCTGTACACATGTTTATTTAAGAAAAAAACATTAGACTGGTATTCTCAATGAATCAGTCAACCATACAGGCAAGCACATAACTAAACCATTTCTATAACAAAGGCACTGCAGCAAACTCCCCACAGTTTATTTGTCAAAAAATGGAGTTCTTATTCCCCTTTAGAGCACAAGCAGTACTCAGTTCTTTTTCTGATGTTTTTGGAGCGAAAAAGTGTTCCCTTGCATATGATATCTGAGGATTTCAAGAGGCGTGGCTATATGTTTACCAAGTGTCCCTACCTCAATTAGTTTATGCCTCCTTATATAAGACTCGGTCCCTTCTCTAAACAAAAAGGACTTGCCTGTCCTTGTTCATTGATCACTAAGATCAAACAAGGATGATTTAGGAGAGAAATACATTTAATGGTAAGACACAATTTTCGCAGGAGCACGTAGTCTTGTGTTTCTATTTGTTAATAAGTGTGAACAAATTTAAAACGTTAATAAAGAGAATGTTGAAGTAACTGGTGCGGAAAGGAAGCATATACCTGAAAAACTTTTATGAGCTTCAGCTCACCTCTACGCTTGATTTCAAAACCTTCTGCCAAGGTGCCATCTTCATTGAAGACAGCATACCTCTTCTTTATCAGAATCCCTTCCTCTATAGAGGCAGGTAAGATCATGGCCTATTATGTTAAGATGTGTTTCAAGGTTAACAAAGTAAGTTTGATCAGTATTTTATAACAAAAATTAGACCAAGGAACAGAATTACTACAAAAAAGAGACTAAACTAAACAGTAATACCATTTAAGTACTCACCTTGTAAGGTCCATCAACCTCAAACTCAATGGAACACTCACTGTGTGTTGTATATATCTTATTTACTAGGTCTTTCAATGTCTAGTAGAACAAAGAAACCAAGCGATTAATAACACTAGGATCAACCATGCCTTAAAGTAAGCATGACCTAATGAATAAAGTAATAGACTTAGTAGTCATGCTAAGTACAGCTTACACTACTGATGTTGCAAATATTAACAGCATGCTTAAAGATTCTTGCTCAAATACCTGACAAAGTAAGCATATATTATCTATATGTTTTTATGTTTTTGGGCAACATGACACCAGAACTTTACCAATCATAACCCTTGCATGCAATTACATCCAGCACAGTTCAAACCTATACCACTAAATGACCAGGAGAAAAAAAAAACACCAAAAATGGATACAGCACCAACTTTACAAAGTTAATTCTTGTTAAGGCAACAGCTTTACAAAGTTAATTCTTGTTAAGTGCACTGTCTATTAGTAACTGTTGTTCTTAAGTATGTTCTGGCTGGTACTTTTGTCAAATGCTCATGGTTGTGATGTGTTTTATGTGCTATCTCTACTTAATTTCACGAAACTTTTGTCCAAACGAAGTTAAACTCTCAAGTCACCATTTGCCAAGGCCTGAACCATCAACCATCCAACTTAGTTTGAGATAACTGATGAGCAAATAAGATTATGCCAGTTGCCAGATACACCTGGTTGGTCTGGGATCCATCGCTTTTGAATAATTATGTCCAGATTATATGTAAGAACTCAACTGGAATGCCACCTAGATATACTGAAAAGTGTTCCGATATACTGCAAGGATTGCAACGCTAATAGTTAGTAGTGTCACTAAAGTGACTCTGTCCTAGTAGAATGAAACAGCACCAACTTTTATTGGTTGCGCCTTCATAGGTGTGAGAATCAGTTGCTTCATAGGTGTGAGAACCAGTTGCTTAGAGGTGGGAAACTGAATGGTATAATGTAAGAATAATGAATTTGAGCATAGCACTGTTATGCTGATAACACATTGGGAGAAAAAACAATTTATTCAATATCTTTCTTTGCAAATCAGCAGTTCAAAAAATTTTATTACATCCATTTTTCCCTCTGAAAATTTTCAGCTCAACTAAAGATTTATAGGTAACACATGATCCTTTTATCATGCCTAATAAATTATGTTATTGAAAAATAAAAATACTCTGAATATTTCAGAACACTCCATCAGACCACGAGTACTGCTGTTTAGGAAGCAGATTAACCTTTTATTATCCAAATTCTTGTGTTGTTGCAGTAACCATAAAAAGTAGTCGAAATCTGTAGGAGGGAATTATATCAGATAAAAGTGTGACCTCTCTAGAGCTCTGACCTTGACCACAATTTTAATTGACTGTTAGGTTATCCGTTTTGTAGAAATAGTTGAGTAATTCTGAAACCAAAAGATTTGTAGTCTACATACCATACCAGCTGGCACAAGTCCTGAAACTTGGTAAATTTAAACCTGATAATGAGCTAATATGGCAGGACGATAAAGCTAGCATGACCATCATGACTTACCACAACAACTATTCCATAAGCACATTGTAGAAGGTTCGGAACACTCCATCAGACCATCACACATGTAGTTAGAACCAGAAAGAACATTAACCTGTAGATTCCAGATACTATATAGCTAGGCTAAGCCTATGAGGAGACACTGCGTGCATTTTAATTAATTAGTGTGTTGACAGGTCCCCCTAAGACCTAGCATATGTTTTGAACACGATGAGGAGGCTGTTGGGCTATATATAATCTTTGCATGATTCAGTAACCAATAACGACAATATATAATCTTTGCATGTGGAAAAATCATTCCCTTAGTTACCTTAGTGTAAGAATCCACTAATGCCAGGTCTTCCTTTTTTCTAAGGTATCATCAAATCTTGATTTAGCTTCCAAGTTCTTTAGATGACAGCTACATAGCATAGTAAAGATCTGAAAGTAGGCAGCTATGTAAGGGAGGCATAAACTTGCTATGAACAAAATTGATGAAGGTCAACAGACTAGTAATGTCTTGGTAGGTTTATAGGTGTGGGTAATCAGGAGCTTCTGAGTTCAGGTCAAGGTCGACAGCATTGGCAGCGAAAAACTCCATGCCACCTGCATTGGAAAGCGGAAGCATAACTCAACATTAGCATAAACTGAAAATCATGTAAGGATAGCTCAAACAACATATAGGAAGAGAAAAGTCTCAGCAATGAAGGACAAAGTAACAAAACTCATGTCTGACTCTTGACTCTGGCTAACTTTATCCTTTTCAACAACTCAACATTCCGGAATCCTACAAGCCTACTAATTAATCATTTACTTAGCCTTTTCCTCCCCCATCTGCTGCCTTTACCTTTGGCCACCTAAAGCGAACGAAAACAACCGCCACCTGCTAAGATTCCTTAGCCATGTTGTTCTCAAGTTAACGACAAAATATTGAAGTTCAGTTTGACCTACCACTTACCAATCATGAACATCAGAAACAAAATGCTTACTGCAGTGACAGTTGCAACTTTTGTACTCAATAAAACATGCTACTAGTTGACACAGGTCGTGAGTATTGTATTTGCACATTACACATAGCTTTAGAAAGGGGAAGTTTTACTTGTGGCTTGAAGAAAAAGGAAACAAAATCCAGGTAACCCCAAGTGAAACTGTCATGTACCACAGTCCTTGTGATTTATAAGATTATAAGATGTACTACTTGGGAACTAGTATGTCTGAGGCTTTCTATTCTACTTCTCTGAAAGCAGTGAAGTTTAAACCTCTGTGATTCAAGGATAAATTGAATGTGGATAACTTGGCAATGAAAGAAACTGAGCACTAGGGTAGCCAACAGAAAAGCTAATTCATATTACCGCAAAAAGGCATTTTTCTTGATTATACGCGGAAGGCGATAGTAGATTGTGATAAGCGTGCTTAATTGGAATTCCGTTGAAGCAGAATACATCTTATACTACTGCTGACAGCCGATTTAAAGCATTTCATAATCTCTGCGGCTACGAAACGAAGCTAAGCTTGCTCTGAAAGAGTCTTGCACGTAATATATCCATATCGACTATCGTCCCTGTGTCTGTGACCGTATCCAAAAGCTAGAGCATCACGGATCAAACAAAAGTTCAGTTTTCATACGTCTCCTCCACAACCCAAACCCAAATCATTTGCCAAGAGCATAAGTGCATAACCCAACTGCTTCTAATTATTATTACGCGGGGGAAAAGAAACACCTGGGTTGACCACGGACCTGGAGGCGCGGGGGCGCGGAGAGAGACGGCCGCCCTGCCGCCGCCACCGCCCGCGCCGTGGGGGAAGCGGATCGAGGAGGCGGGGGAGGATGAGGAGACGACGAGGTGGGGCCGCATGGTGCCGGCGGGGCGACCCAGGAGGGGGCGGGACGTGCCGGAGGCGAGCGCCATGGCGGATTTTTGTGTTTGGTTGGGGGAAGAAGCAGGCGACGCGGGGAGGGACAACGGAATAGGACGGGAGGGGACAGAGCTGGGGCGGGGGATTTGGTGGTGCGTGAGGCGCTGTCGGGGCGGAGGGCTGGGCGGTGCTGTGAGGGCGGCGCGGGGAGCAGTGAGGGCGAGCGGCGTGGGGAGTGAAAAGATTGGGCGGCGGCGCGCCGGAGAGGGTAAAGAACAGGTGGCGGCGCTCTTGGATTTGGGATCTTGGGAAGAGTCTAGGGTTTGTTACTGTGGGCGAGACAAAAATTTGCGCATGAACTGCTTATGGAGACAGGGCGCGTGAGCTGGGTGTGGGGCCCATTTTTTTTAGCGTCAGACAGATCAACGCTATATCTAGTTTTAGCGACAGACGGGCTAATGCGAAACATGAACATCTATAGCGACAGACAACAAATCGCTAAATGAGGATTTAGCGTCAGATGGTCTCTGAGCTATCTTTAGCGGCAGATCATCCATCGCCAAATATAATTTTTAGCGTAAGATGTCTGACGGTGAAACGGTGTTGTGGTGTAGTGGGCGGAGGAGCGAGGCCGGCGGGCGATGGCAGCGCTATGGGATCGCAGGGCGTGATGGGATCGGTGGGGAGGAGATATCGCGACTGGAAAGGAATGTTTTGTAGCGGAGATTTGGAGTCGCGGGGAGGAGGTCCCACGTGCCGGCGCCGTGCGTTTGAACTGCGGTATCGCACGGACGGGTGGGAAGAGCGACCCAAAAAAAGTCGCACGAAAAAATAGTCTTACTTTTGTTCTTTTTAGTCGTAGGAGAAACAAGTGAACTAAAACTAAACTACTTTTTAGTTTCCAAGAGAATTAGCAATGAATTTAATACTCTGTAATTGGCAAATTTGAACTAACATAGACTAAAAATAAAAGATACACATGAGTCTTTATTTAGAAAAGCTACTTGCTTTTAGTTCATTTATCCAAACAATAAGTCAACACTTGACCAAATCTTAGTCACATATAAACTATAGTCTAACTGTTGACATGGATTCGGGTTAAACACTAGTAGGGAATTGATCGCCTGAGGTTGCACACGGCCCGAATACGCAACGAAGGTAGATCTAAACGATCAGGCCGATTAGAATTCCATTAGGATTCAGACACTCGTTTGTCACCTAAAAAAATCCATGAACGCCTCCTGCAAAGACCCATCGGTGAGACGCACGACAAAGGTGCCTTGGGATCGGCAAAGCCAGCTGGATTGTTGACAAATCTCGTAGAGAGAAGTGTTAGACATCAAGGGAGTCGGAAAAAGTTGAGGTAGAAGAATAAAAATAAAGATTTTTTTTGAACGAACTAGAATAAAAATAAAAGATAGATGTGATTTTAACGGTTAGATACATGGACCTTTCAATCTCATTTGATCATTTCACATAAATAGAGCGAGTGGTCTTAGTTTAGTAGAAACTTATTTTACATACGATCTACAAGTTCTCTATGAGATCGGATTGATTTAAAAAAAAACACAAGTTGATGATTCGGACTACCAAAAACCAGTATGGGCTGGTTTGTACAGGGTCCAGACCGGCGGCAATGTGAGCTCGCGTGCAAATGCGTGCGCGTAGGCCGGGACGGACGGACGGTAGCTATGCGAGCTCCCGTGCATACACACGCCCAGCGACGATGCAAGCTCGCGTGAGAACGCGCGTAGAGCCAGGCGCGCGGGCAGGCGGTGAAACGTGCTCGCGTGCGGACGAATGAGCGGAAACCAGCGCTCCTCTCCAATGAGCAGAGCCCCCCTTCTTTTGTATTTGGAGAACGAGTTGAAATTGTTTCCCACTTGAGAACTGGTTGTTACATTTTTTTTTCCTCACCATTCACTGGAGCTAGAGTTAGACCTTAGTTTTTTTTACCAATGTGACGTGATATGTTTTTAACATGTGAAATAGCTTATATTTCAACCATGAGCGTGACTAGAATTAGAGTCCAGGGCTGCCGATGTGCAGATCGTGACACCTTCAGATAGAAAACAAGAAGAAAACACTCTTGCTAAACTGTCTTAAAGCATGAGCCACTCCATTAGCATTCATGTGACATTTCATGACGTTGAAATCTTGAAATAGTCTCAGAGTTTCTTTTGCCTGTTCAATGGTGATGCAGCTAGGGATCGATTATTCGGTTTGGAGTATTGCAATTGAGTGCTTGTACCATAGCAAGACAGTAGATTCCAGCCATACAGTCCCATAGAGATTGAGAGAGTATTTCAGATTTCCGTCAAAGCCGCTAGATTTTCAGCTTCT